TTGGCTATTAGAAAATATATTATAGAAATATATTAAACTAAAATGAATATTTATCAACTTCAGGTGTTCTGGATACATATAATTTCGAAGTTCATGTACACAAAATGCAAAGTAGATAATCTCAAATTAATAAAAATGTTTTTTTGAAGAAGACACAGTCTTTCTTTGTAACTCGGCACATATCTATAACTACTTAAGTTTTAAAAATTTACTTTGACCACAGAAAGATAGATAATCATAAGTTTCGAAAAAGTTTTCTGAAAATCTGGGTCAAGTTTGTTTGTTCCCTTAGGTGACTTTATAAACAAATTTTTCAGTATTACCGATTTTATTTTACTTTTGACTTAGCAATGCAATTCTGAAACCTTGAAATAAAAAGTTTTAAATTACAAAATTATGTAAGACAAATGTAAAGCAAATTCCTCATAGGCAAATATGTACTTTCTTTTCAAGGGCGAAAAGTGTAAATTACTACATGTCACGTCAACAAAGGAAAGTAAAAGTTTTCACTGGCATGTCAAATGAGATATTTTAAAGGAATTTCATATTTTATTGAATAATTTTAAATATTTACACATCCATTTAGTGACTTAATACACTAAATGGATGACAAATTTACATTTTTTCGAAAAGGTGAAATAATAATCTAAATTATTGTATGAAATTCCACAAAACATCACAGTCAATCTCAATTGAATAAGGTTATATATCATTTACTTCATATAGAATTGAAAAATTTGACAATTCATTATATTTTCCCTAACGAATAGGTCAAAATTTTTAAAAGCTTTCTATGACAAAGATTCTTAAAAAAAACAAAAACGCACTATCATATAAGACACTGTATCGTCTTGCCTAAAATAGTTCCTTTTTTAAGTTCATAAATTGGAAGGATAATATATATATATAGAATACTTTTTAATAATAAAATAGGAAAAATGTAATTCACTTACATTTCACTTACGTTCACTTACTTTTCGATTGGTAAGTCAGGGGTAACTTATTCAATGGAGATTCACTTTTAGTGCAATTTTTATTTCGAATTTCAATGTGTACTGACACTAGTACAAAAGTGTTAGAAAACTCTAAAAATGTTCGATTAGGCAACAAAATTTTAGAGATCGAGAGTATATATAGATCGAATCGAGATTCACCAATCGAAAACGCCATTACTAAAGATAATAAGTAGGTTAGATTTATAACATACAAATACGTTAAAAACTGAACAGAATACGGATAAAAACGTATTTTTTTTTTGTTGGAATAATAACCGGAACCGAGCCGGTAAATGTTTATATTTATGTATATACTTATATATACGTTTAATACGTTTAATATATAAGTACATTTATAAATGTACTTGTAATATATACTTAAAATTTATAAAAATCGGCAATAGTTAAGACAAATAGTAAGACCTTTAGGAAATTCAAATATAAGCGATTAGTGGATACTGGTGATACTGTCCTCTAAGAAAGATGATATATTATAAGTAAGATTATAATTGACAATACAAGCACATTTTATATATTTTTAAAACTCTCTATGTTATCCCGGAACATCAATCTATTGTATATCCCGGTTCAAGAAGATGAACCGAAAAAGTAGTTTGTTTTGTTGGAACGCAAACAAGACAAGCCGAAACTCTATTTAAAATTTAAAAATCAAAAGGATTAATAACAGTAAAACCTTACGAAATTTAAGTATTTCCTAAAATTAAATCTAATAGGAAATTTCAATATAAACAATTAATACATGTTAATACGCTCTCAAGAAGATGGAGACCTAATAATGCAGACTATTAGTGACAATATAAAAATGGGTTTTTATTTCATTAAAACCAGATACCAATCTATTGTTTCAATAAAGCTGGCGTTATTAGATGTATTCGACAAAATTGCATATATATTGATAGCTCATACATTGACGGATATATTGGTTCATATTTAAAACTTTAACCCATCAGAAGTCTTGGAGTGTTTAGATTGTCAAACATTTAAAAAAAAAGTGTTATAAATTCCTTAAGCCAATTAAACATTATAAATTTAAAGAATAATTAACAATTCTCATATATTTTATTACTTTTCGTTTAAATTAAATTTAACATATATTGGCTGATAAAATGATTTCTGTTTCAAAAACTGATTACTGTTTCAAAAACATGAAACATGTTTAAAAATAAGTATTTGATGCTTTGTGATTAATTGGTTTTTAAATAAACCAACAGTCCTTAAGAATTGTTATAATTAATCGGTTTTAGTTTTTATTTGCTTAAGACTTAAACAAATTAACACACATTAATGCAATTTTATGCAAAACAAAATTGATAATTTTTTAAAATTCATTGATAACAGCAACAAAATTCTTATAAAATTATATAATTTATATTGTTGTATTTTTTAAATAAAAATTTGTAATAAAATTATCAATTTCTCTTCAGTAAAATATGTGTTAAATAAAAATTTTGTTTCCTCATTCCAAATTGTATGTATGACAAAAAAGTTTGAAATTGATAACATGTCATGAACCTTTTGCAATATTTTAAAACATAAAAATCGAGACCAGAACAGCTCTGACGAATAATCAAAGATGACACACATGTTTTCTGAATTCTTAGTGTTATTTGGAATAAAAGCTAATATGTTGGTTGCAGATAACATATGTTTTGTTGAAGTCATTTGTTGAATATTGATTTAATTTATTAATGAAGACATCAAGAAGATTTTTCTTAGAACCCTACAGCAAATCGAAAATTATGAAGAAATTGAACTACCTCCTAAAACGATAAATTAGGTTAATAATTTATTGAAGTATTAGAAGTCATTTTTCTACTATACCTGCATTTAAATGGTACATTCAGAATCCACGTCCAAGAGCAGGATCTCACTTTGTATAAGAAAAATTCTAATAATGCACTATACCAATTTAATCTGGTAACAAGAATGTACTTAGATTGCAAAAAAAAAATGATTATCGATTTTTTATGTAACTCAAATTAATCAGCTTTGAATGAACGGGATTATATTGAGATATATGATCGAAGATGGACGTCGCTGGTACTAACAACTAATAGGCAACCAGGGACAGAAGCAGATGGAGAAAACTCATTGATACGGTTAATCCCTAAAACAGGCTCTTATTAGTGAAAATAATGATTTTAGCAACTTTTCAATGTCAAAATTATAAATTTTCAGAGCTGATATATATTAACATTAGATGGTAATTAATTAACAGAAATATAAAAATCACATGATGGAACTTAAAGATGAAAATCATTTAAAGGAAATTAAATATTTATACATATAAATGATGAGTGATATGTATTTGAAAATTGTTATTGACAGAGTTAATGGTTCTAGAGATTCTAAGATTGATTTTATTAAAATCATTATATCCATGAAGTATTGAAGATTAGTCCGGTGCATCATTACGGCAATATTTTTGGAGAATGACTCTTTAACTTCAAGTTAACTATTAAAGCAGCTATTAAAGCGATGTTGCTTTAACTGTAAGAATATAGGTTTTTTTATAATTTCGGTAAACTTAGATTAAATTAAATTTGCTAACATTAAAAATCAAAAAACTATATTTTGATTTAAGCAATTGAAACGTAACAAAGATTACGGTTCAAGATACTACCGGGTGTACGTCGTGGCGCTACTCGTCCCCTAACCTTATCATATTTATTGAATTATAGATTGTAGATAGACAATATCTATCTATATAGAACATAAATTCAAGCAGCGGGTAAGTGAAATCATGGAGATGCCCGTATTTCAAAAAGACCAAATCCTTTTCACTCTTCCCAATAAGAACTACAATGATCTTATCTTCTATATTTAAGTAAAGGTTACTGCGGCCGAAAACAAAATGCCTGTTACTCCTTCCAACAGAAACTCCTCGAGCGTTATCTTCTGCGTCAAAGTTTCATTCAACATTTCTTTCCTTTAAACTTAAGTTTATGGTGTGTTCCTTTCGTTTTCTTGTTGTCAGTGCCTTAACAACAAGAACCAAAGTTGATCTTCTCAATTTGGATGTACCGAACTCATTAATTTCAATTAATTAAAATGTTTTTAAACAAGAATATAATGAGAAGTATATCAAAACCAATGCAACTAATATAAATATTAAGTCAATATTCATTTCTAATGTGAAATACAGCAATAAGATGATTATTAGTATTATCACATTATTGTATAAACATATTTTTAATATGATTATACAAGTGATATAACATATTGGATTGATTATGCACATTTAACAGATTTGTTATTCTAAAAATAAAAGACAATATTATTGCATTAAAGTATCAAATAACTGAAACTATATATATATAATATTACGAGTACATAAATATGCTAGATTGTTATCTTTAAATAAATATTAAAACTGAAATGAGCAGACAAAGAAAAAATGCGATGTGAAGAATTTAGCAACCAACAAAAGAGATTAATTGTTGAGTTAATACGAATTTCCTTCAGGATTTTAATTTGCATAAAGCGTTAAGCTTATTTGCTAAGGCTGATCCACGCGGAGCATTTGTGACAGTGCATTCACATTCGTGTAATGGACTTTTCGTTAGCCACTCCTTTAAGGCAGCGCCTTAATGTAAGCAGCACGTAAAAAATTCTTCTTCATTCTACAATACGTTCAGTTTTTTTGTTTTTAAATTAATAGTCTAACTGAAACAACTGTGTAATACACATATGGTTATGGCAAAAACAGACCCCACATTTCTCAGAAATTAAATTTATAGTTTCATGTTTCAGAAATCTCAGCAACTTGGAAGTTGACGCATCATTCGATATATTAATAAACAATTCTACTACTTCTTTAAGCTCTTTATATTGTCCTATGGAAATATATGAAATTTAGATATTTATAAAATTCCAACTTATTTAAGTAAAAAATATAAAATAAATGTTTGTTTTTGTCGCATCAACAAAAACATCAATTTCACAGATTTTTTACAATACGCCGATCTGAATGTTCTCACTTACCTCACTTGGTGACATTGATGACATGCTTACGGTACTCGTTGTAGGGAATGTTCAAAATTTTTCCTTCAATACTGAAATATTTTCACAATTTTGTTTTCTATTAAATTTTATTTTCAGCCGTTTGGCTTACACTTTTCTTAACTTTATAATTCTAAATTGACGTTTAGTTTTGTGCGTGAAAGAGAAAGCACAACAGCTGATATGAAAATATTCTCTAAATTTTATTGTAGACTTCTGGTCAGTGTTGTAAAACGAAACCTATAAAAATATAACGTAAGCACCTTGCGCACTTTGCTAACAATATCGTAACACGAATTTATAAATTATTTTAACATTTTTATTTCCTTTATAATTAATTTTGATATGTTATTGTTTAAAAATTACAGGTTTAAATGCAGTTTTTTTTATATTTAAATTATTTATTTGATATATTATAAACTGTTAACTTGAGAAGTAGGCTATATTGACGTAAAATGTATAAGAAAAAGCTAATTAAAATAAATGAATTCACCAAATATCACCAAAACATTATAATAACACATCTACAATCTAAAATTAATATAACAAGATTAATAATATCTGTTTCTTACTGTATATCGTGTACACTGTACAATAGCGAATCATTTTGATATTTTTTTTATTTTGCTTATAAAGTAAATTTTGAATAATTTTTAAAAAATTTAAAAGCTTAGTTTTAAGTAATAAAATTTTCATAACAAATTTTTAGTAAAAGTGCTCAAGTGCACCTGCTCAAGTAGCTTCAACATAATAATAAGCTTATTATTATCCTATGAACAATGTATTTTATTAGCCATGGCATGCATTTCATAAAATAAACTTTACAAATGATTAATATTTTATAACAATAATAAAAAAATAAAATAATTTTAATTATTATTAACAAATTGTGGTTAGAAAAAATTTGTTAAAAAGACTTTTCTATCACACTTTTGGTGTGTGCTTCACTCCATCGATTTTACATTATTACATCTTCATTCATTTCAAGAACTTATATTAATTATAATCATCACATTGACAGCAGTAGTTTGGTAGCTTATATTGTAGTTAGTTAACCAATACACAAAAAGTATATGTATTTAATTACTAACTGCTTAGAACTCCAACGTATCTAAATATGTATCATAAAATCTTTCATTACCTCTTGCACCTAACGGATTTTCTTCTTTGACGAGAAATAAGAAAAGCAACAATTTTCACTCTAACTGTATTTTTATCAAACCATATCAAGAAAGGCATATTTGAAAGGCTACTTCAATGGTTACTCTTTATAAATAATACGTTATTTATAAATAATATTTCAATTATGTACTATTAATATAGTATAATATAAATAATATTGGAAGTATGTACAAAAATATTACAATACTTACCCTAGAATATTTATTGTTTAATGTATAACTATTGTACAGCTTTTGACATTTTATTTAAAATTCCTCAAATATCGTAAAAACTATTAGATAATAACCATTCGAGACTTTAAATTCATCGCGACCAAACGGAGATTTCATTTTTGCAAATCTACAATTTAACAACTAAATTAAAATAATATCGGAAGCCGCTTTTACAAACTTTTAATCTCACATTGTAAACGCACTATTAAAAACGTATTAATAATCTCATTATATTGTAATGGATTAAAAAGATTAAAATTGAAACATTTTAATACAATATATAATATTGTTTATTTATTTTTTCAAATTCCGTTTATTTATAATTGGTTGCGATTAGTTTAACAAGCAATTCAGACAATTAGTGAGGAATAAAAAACTTATAATTAATGTAATATTATGACAAAATATTTGTCAAGCAATATATGTTATGAAAAATTGAAATTGATTGATATATTAAATTAACTAGTTTTATCTCAAACGTATCGTTTTAAGTTGCTACATCATAACACACAGTGTTACGTTTTTACAATCTCGAAGATGTTTAAAATGCAACACTGAAACTTATCGATAAGTTATCCATATTTTTTTTCGTGGGTATGAAGCGCAAAAAATTAATTTGTTTATATTAAGAAATAAGCAAAAAAGGTTTTATTATTTTATGTTGTTTTGCTGCTACGGAAATTTAGAACGTCAATACACATATTATATTAGCAAACCAAAAAATAAAATACTAGGTTTATGCAACAATTACCTATATTGTTTATTTAAAAAATTTTTAACAATTTATGTACATAATAAAAAATGCTATAATTTGTGTTATTTTTGGATTAAAATATTTTTGGGATTAATAAAATTGTTTAAAGAAATATAAAAGGTATAATATATACATGAAATTATTATATTGATTAAATATTTTATAATTTACTATTGCTCGTTATCATATCGCGCACAATCTGCACTGCATGTTGTGATGTACCAGGAGCTGTGGTAACGCCATAACCACCATGTCCATAATTGTGTACAACTTTAAGAATGCTACCATCGGCACGTTTAATTTTTTCACCTTCAACTCGCACAATAGCGCGATGCGGACGCAAGCCAACACATTCACGAACAACTTCTGCACGCTTCAGGCTGGGTAGCATTTCGTAGCAGCGCTCTTTTATAGCCATTGAGTCATACTTGCAAAGGTTCATGTTGTAGCTATCGAATTGTCGACAACCGCCTAGTGTAACAGTCTCAAAGCCAGGTATTATATATGTGTCATAATCTCCATAAAACGCTGTTTTAATCCAAGGTGCACGCACTTTGAAAACTTGACCACGAATCGGAACTAATTGCTGATCATTGCATAGTTCTCTGGCACCTAGTCCAGTACAATTTACAACGACATCAAATTTCTCATTCAAGTCCGAAAATGAGTGTACGTGCTGGCGAACTACTTTACCTCCAGCTTCTAGAAATCTAGGGAAAAAAAACAATAATTAAATTTCCAATTATTGCTGTGATTATTCACAAAATTTCATAAATATTTTATTGTCATAATTAAGATTAGATATTGAAATCTCACATTTTTATGCATTTATGATGCCGTAAATTGCATAAATTATTTTCGATCTTTTCCCGTTTTCTTATTTTTATTATTTCATGTTAAAACTTTGGACTCGACAATTAATTTTAGAACTTTTACGCGTTTGCTAAGAAATCTATATTGTTTACTATTTGCTAGGGAAATCAAAATTTTATTATATCAAAAATATATTTTAAATTAACCATTAACCCCTAAATGGGGGTAAATATTTTTTGTGTTTGCTTTTATAATGAAAATTTTTTAATAAAATTACATTTTTTTTATTATTGTTAGATTTTTTTTACTATTAATATTAATATAGACTTCTTTTAATATTAATATTAAAATAACCTTTTTTTTATTATTAATATTAATATTTTAAACTAATATTATATTAATATTAATGTTTTTAAGAAGCTATAGAGTTCATCAATATGTATGATGTCGAATTTTAGAATATATCAACATTTTATTAATCTTACAAAAAATTTATTATTAATATATCTCTTCATTTATATAATTATGCTTTTCTAAAATTTTTTTTATATGTTTTTAGTTTAAACAATTTCTGATCTACTTGGTGATGAGGTAGTTAATCGAAAACATCTATGAAAGTTAAAGGCTAACGATGATCTACAAAGAGCAGTAACGGATCTACAAAAAGCAGTAACGAAATATGTAAACACTATATAATTCTGGAAAATGAAGACATTAACAGCGACAAAGAGTGAATGAATATTTAGTTACTTTGCTGCTGACCTGCTGCCTACATCTGGAATTATGAAAAGCATGTATGGAAATGTTAGTGGCACATTCGTGCAACAAAACATACTTCAGCTCAAATAATGGCGCATTGTAATAATAGGCATAAACGCTGCAAATCTAATGGAACACCAAAAAAGGTACAAGTTGGAAGTAGTCAGTGCATTGACCACGTCCAAAATTCATGTTGGACTGACCATTAATGTAAACCTAGGTTAATAAAAACCTGAAATGGTTTTAAAGGCGAACAGTTCGGCGAACAGATGTCAGTAAAAAAAGGGAGCTCAAAGACTTTTAATCTTATACTGCCCAACGATGGCCGAAATACAATACTTTTATACTTAAGAATCATATTAAGAATATTGCAGTGAATAAAAGGTCAATCCTTTTAGGAAACTGCGGCTATCTATCAGACCAATGACTCGCCTTCAGTACGGTCATTTCTCTGCTGTTTGTGAGTCGCCGATAGTCGGGCGGGGGGAAAGAAAAACTCCCTAGGGCAGGGTCTGTTCATATTCCAGGTTCCCAAGGCTAGGACTTGATAGCCTGGAGTACGAACAAACCTATTGCCCCAAACAAACCCCCTAAACTCACAGTGGAACAGCAATGCTGGCGAACTTGCTTGACGGGGTAGAGTCAAGCTTAATAGCGAACTCCGTAGCAGGTCTGGCCAACCTACGGTTTCAATTTGTCCTTCTCATGGGGCGCTCATGGGTGACCAACCTGCACTGTTTATTAAAATTTACTTTTTTTATGGATTTAAATACACTAAACTCTATGGACTGCACACCTTTAAATGTGCAAAATATGACTTTATAAAGCCAAAACTCATCACTGGCCGAGGGGGCACATGGTACCTTCGTTAGTGAACAAATAGACCACGACTTGTTGAAGGGGGCACCTGGTCCTCTACCCGACAAACCGGAAGAGATGAACATTCCACTTAGCCAGAAGTCGGCTGGAATGTCCATTACCTCGGAACAGGAGAGAGATCTTCTTGAGCCTGGTCCAACCAAAAAGACTCAAACAAGAGTGAAGCTATTCGGCTCTGGATACAAAAGGTTGAAGGCTTTACTTGCCAAGGGCATTCTGCTGGAAACAGCAAGGTCCTTGGCAGTAAAGCCGCCCACCGCAAGTAACGAAGGACAGGCAATACTAAAACGATCCCGATCGGACAGCTCTACACCAACATCGAGCTCCAAACCGACAAAGCGGATTGCATTACAGGGCAAAAAAGTTGATAACAAAACAAAAGTGCCTGCAACTGGTTTGTCGATTTTCAGCAGGATGAAGGAAGTAGAGACCTTACACGGGGCAAACCTGATCGCAGTAATGAGGTGGCAACGGTATCTGTGGGGCAGGCTAAACAGAGCGTTTCTTCCGAAGACTTCTGTACAAAGCCTACTCTAGCAGAGACTGTTCGCTCTAAGAAGATCGGTATACTACCGCACAATTTCCCAGAGAGCATTTGGTCCAATAAGGAAATTGGTAAGGTGCAGAAATGCATCCTCGACAAGATGTACGAAACTTGTAAACTGCTTCATTCCAAGTCCATCAGAATAACTTGAACTGAACGAACATCGTAATGCTCGAGGACTTTGACGCATCACTAACTAATGATATGTATTCTATTAAGGCTATATAAAATGTACTTTAACTTTAATTTAATTTAAAATTCAACAACATGTAACTAGTAATTAAAAGTACGTTTGAACTAAAACTAACTCGAAAGATTACAAAGAGTCTATACTTCATACAAATACCCAACTACTCGTATCAAGTAAAGGAAATACATATTATTAATAAGTATTGTAGAAATAAATTAATAACCGTACTTACTTTTTAGTGGCATATGGCAGAAACAGACGACTTTCGGTTAAACAAGTAGTGAAGAAGGAACCATATTTCCAATCACCATGACATAGTTTTAATTCCTCCTCAGTAGCTTGACGATAAATTGGTAATAGTTTTTCTATGAAATGATTCTAAAAATGTTTAAAAAATTAGTTTATTACTTTTATTTTCCAAATAAACATTAAATATAATCGATAAAGCAAAAAAAAAACTAGTTTGATTACTGCTTAATAGCGGTGATTAACGTTATCTGATTATAAAAAAAATCATTTACTATCAAAATAATATTTTTCTTATATACTCACACGCGTAATTTTTGGTGAAATGCTGGAGAAAATGTATCCTGATAATTGGCAAACACCAGCAAGTGGCGCTTCTTTCGAACGACGTATTTCATCCCAGTAGTTGAACGCATCTGTAATCCATTTTCTATTCAATAAGAATTAATTAAAACTCTTAAGAGATTAAGAGAATAACAGTTTATGTCAAATACTCACTGTGTTATGTCGACTGTCGGCCCCATAAAACTGGTGCTCGGACGAAATATGCCGGCAGCCACATAACTTGTGGTGTCTTCATTAAAATTATCCGCTATGATGGATACTTGTGCATTAGGATAGTGTTTTTGTAATTCCAAAGCTGTCGTAAGCCCAATTATGCCACTGCCCAAAACACCGAAATTCATTTTCTTGTCTTTGGTTTTAGAGAAACTTGAATTTATACGACTGCTCCGTATGACTTCTTTTCACCAACTGATCATTGAGAGCCCGTGCCAAGCATTTTAACACTGCATTTTTGATAAGAATTTCTCTAATATCTCTCCGCTGCCGACAATCTATTGTCGCTGAGGTGTTGAAGTGCTTATCACTTAATTTTCTATGTATTTAATAAATTATTGTGTACATTTAGTTTATTTGATTAAATTCTATCATTTTGCGGCTTTCACAAACTTTTGAGTGACTATGGTCAGCTGGTAAATTTTTAGAGATGTGATTTTATTGTAATAAGCATGAGTATCGATATTTACACACCCAACAGTCATTGTGGGTGGTGCGATTTTATTTTTAAAATAAAATTTTATTTTAATTTTAGGGCTATTAATTTTGGGTATTATCAAGAATTAGTCTATGTATTGTTTAGTAACATTTAATGTTTAGACATAGCTTACACGATCATTATATTCATTGTTTATTTAGAATCAAACAGTGATTGAATTGTATTTTATAGTTCTTGGAACGACACCTAATGCACTTGAGTACGATTTTAAGCAAAAACAATAATTGTAGTTTAGTCCTTACGAAGAAACCTAAGAGATGATACAGTTGAATAATATTAAAAATAATAAATAAAAATGAGAATTTAATGAAATTAAAATTATTAAATAAAATTTTATAATTTCAATGCATCAGCAATAAATATATAAATAAATGAATATTTTTTAATAAATATCTATAAATAAATACATATAATTAAATATAAATAAATAAATATAAATATATAAATAAATAAAATAATATATATATAAAAACAAAATAATATATTTCAATAAGTTCACAAAAAGCCTTTAAGTAACGAAAATACTGTTAACAGTAAGTGAACTCAAAACTTATATATATAATAACATTAAATATTAATATTAAAAGTATGTATTTTATTACCATAAAAAGATATTTAAAAAACAATGATATTTTATCCTAACAATTTACCTATAAAAAAAAATTTATTAAAATATTTTACTTTTTAAATATTAATTTATGCAAATAGTAACTCTTTTGCCGGTAGATATAACTCCAATTCTTGAAACGATTGCAATATATTAATGTTGTTGTTTTGCAGATGGAAAATAGGGGTTCAATAGCTGCCGTGCTTACTTAGCAACTAGTTCTTATTTTTGTGGATATCTGAAATAAATTTTGACTGTTCCTTAAAGACACAACAAGCAAACATCACACCTAGTCAGGAGTAAGACTAAAGAAAGGTGACAGCTTCGATGCTGAAGTAAACCAATTAGGAAGAAAATGATGATGGAATGTGTTTTCTCTATGTAAATTAATAAAACTTGGTGGCGAGAGAGTTTCAATCGCATAGTTGCATGATCCATCATGATATTCATCTAATATACAAACATCAGAGAGCATATAAAATTTACATATTTATTTAAATTTATATAAGAAAAGATACAATAAATATTTGTATAAGCATGTACTTAAAAAAAAAAATTAAATAATATAAATATATGTGGGATGGTATAGATTCAGTCTAGTGGGTATATAGGGTTAAGAAACTTTTTAACTCATTGGGGTGAACTCAGTTTTTAGTGCGCAATAATAAAAAATTTTGCAGTTTGGGCATATAAGTTGACAATCGCGTCTTCCGAATCCGGCCCTGTGCTTAGTTTCATTAACGAAGTAATAATGCGATATTATTCGACGGATGATTGCTACCAAACCGGACATTATCTTGTTTATCTGGAAGAGTTCCGTTTGGCTTCAGCACCAGTGAACTCAAGAAAAGTCTGCTCGTACAGTACTACTTGGGCTACTAACCGGACCACACGTTCGTAATTGAATCGGTTTGCAAATTATATAAACTCGTGGAAAAGATTAGAAAAATAAAAATAAAGTATTATTAACTTATACCAGAAGAGATGGGACAATTTATGATGAAAAACTATAGCATGTGTCTATACCCTGACTGAAATTATATATATGATATATTTTGTGGTGTATTGAAGGTTAAATTCTAAATTCTACTATAATTAATCAGTGATTTCTAGTAACTGAAATAGGTGCAATTATTAAATACGTTAATAAATAAATTTGCTATTAGTAGAAAAATGCATTTTTACGTCGGATACATTTTTTGGGTATAGCAGATGGCATATGGAACTGATGATTTTTTGTACATTTTCATGTACTAAATTTTAATGTTTATAAAAATTAAAATGTTATACATATAATAATTGTATTCTAAGGTTCAAAAAACAGAAAAAATCATTTACCGATCTGTAATAACAGAGTTATATAGGTAATAAAGGTGGCTCAATTATTGCAAAAACGTAATTTATCAAAAATTGAATGAAATTGCGAACAATTTAAAAATTAATAGACGTATTACTTTTTGCATAAAGTTGTATTTTTATATTTGCAACAAATATACATACATAGTCTAATATAAGTAAAAAAATTATTTGAAAACAATGAAAATATTTTCTTAAAAACTTGGTATGTGGGGTGGATGTTGCAGTGGGCGGAATGTCGCAAAACATTCTGACTTTAGGTGATATAATACAAGTGTTTTGTATTCCAAATTTTTTTTGCTACTACATTTTCTAAGTTATTTCTAAAAATTTAGAAGTTCAAGATTTTTGCGACTAAATTTGAAGGGGTTGTGGATTAGTCCCAAAATACATTCAAAAGAAAGTCCATCTCGAAAACTATTTTTTCGGAAAATTTCATTTTAATGTCTTTACTGTTTCAGAAAATACCTAATTTTTACATTCTGATTTTAGTTCTAGCATATTGTAATACGCTAATATTTGTCAATTTTGACGACTATGGAAATTGTATCCCAAAATTTAATCGAACAATGCGATGTTCAGGGAGATGCTAAGTCCCTCAATATGAGGAGGCAGTTTTTTTCATTATATTTTTATATTTCTTATTTATTCGTTAATATAGATAACGATAGATTTTGATTGTAAAATTTATTTTGCAGTATATATCGAATGAGATATCGCGTTTAAACATATATAATAAATATGTTATTCGATGACTATGTAATATATATGTGGTAATTTTTTACATTATTGATAAAAAATTGTTTGGTAATCTTGAAGAACTCTTGGAACATATTTTTTCTGGCTATTGAGAGCTGTTGTATTACATGAAAAATTTTTCTATTATTAAACTAAGAATTTGTTAGCCTACCCCCGTGTTAAGAAAAAGTCACATTTATTAGATGTTTATATTAGTATAGAAAATCGTATTGCATATGATTATTTGTATTTATTAAATATTATTGATTTAATTTTTCAACTCTTTTGTTTTTATAAATTTCAAGTGACTTTAAGGTCATTTGTCAAGTGTTTATGTATCAGCAATTTTGATAAATAACAAATATCTAAGCGTACGCACAGCCACCAGCTGTCAAAACTCCCGTAACTGAGCAAATATTTATACTTTTCCTACATTCAATACAATAGTTGGTGTCAATCAAAGCTTATTAGTCACACACACTGAGCAACGTTTGGTCGTAATGTAAGTAATTTACACACACATACACACACACACTAACGGATTCAACCACAACATCAGTTGCTTTTCAACTGTCATGACGAGTTCAAATTACAACTTTGTGTGGGCGCTAAAGTTTTGAATGTGAAAAAAAGCAGAAAACAAAAAGAAAATGGCGTTAGTCTGCAACTGACAGCAGTGGACGACATTTGAGCTTTGTATTGCGCATGTCTAAACCAAAGCGAAAAAGCTACATTTGCTTACATTGCACGAATTCGCTGCTATAAAGCTTTTCAAACATTTTCATCACATTGATTTTGGGGCACAACGTATGCATATTTGTTCGATGGAAAAGCCAACTCGCTGTCATTTTGAAAACGTTACGGTCGAGTATACCAACTAAAAATTCTGTTCATGAACGAAAATTGTTTGACAAAAAAAAGTAATTCGCCGCAGACGTAGATTCCGTAGCATAAAAATAAATTTCTTTAGTATCCTTGTGAAACGTGAAAAAATCAGTACAACGCAGAAGAGACATAACTTCTATTTATAACATATTTAAGATTAATAGAAAAATTTTTTAACTGCTAAAAAGTATAATATTAACTTTAAACAATAAAAAATCTAACATATGTTACGTATCCGAGACGATATCTGCTGAAAATAATTGAAAATTATCTTAAAAGAAGTAAATTTTGGAAGAATTGCATATGGTAAACATTTACGTAAAACCAAAGGAATAATACAATAAAAAAATAATTGTACAAAAAATCAATGCTTAAATTTTTTTATTATTAAATTAAAAAAAAAACAAAACTCCACTTAGTGAACTAACGCACATAATATCAATAAAACAAGGGAACTACTTCTGCTATTTTAAGTTAAAATTTTATCGATTTCTGTATATGCTGAAGAACGTTTAATTATATACAATACATATATCTATCTATATTGATACATAAAATATATAAAACGAAATAACAATTTTGCACAGACAACATACGTAAATACACTTGAAAAAAGTATTGTGATAAATTATTTCGACGTATTACTACACATTTGGCTGACGTTGGAAGTTACTTAGGTCAGGCAAATAAAATAAAAATTGTAATAAGCAGCTTAAGGAGTGAAGTGAGTAAACTTGCACGCCACGCAAACGGAAACAAATACACTCAAGGATTAGAAAGTTGACAAGAGGAGCTAAGAGCAACGTGCCTCCTAACAGCAGCAAAACGTGCCATTAAATAAGACTCCTAGTATTGGAACTTAGGTTTCGAATTTCTTCAATTAAACCAACAAGCGAACCCAAAACAAAGTAAGTACTACAGTAAGGTCTACAGCATTAATTTGTAAATGGTGTGGTTGTAAATTTCTAATTACAGTAGAGTTAATCCAAAAGTTAAGATAAGCGGATTAACAAGACGAAGAAAACGTATATTATTTGGGCTTGGATGAAGAAAATTTTCTTCCACTTCATCAAAATCTATTTTTGTTTTCATATTTTATACGTTTTCCATAAATTGAAAAGAGATTTTAATTAATTTTTAGAAAATCTTAAAAAGCATTGAATGATTTGTTTTAGATGAGATTTAAGTAAAGTTTTGATAACTTTGCTTAACCATAACATTACCGACTTGTAAATTTCATCAGTTGAATTACAAATTTTAATATGAAATTAATGGTGAGTACAGCTGTGGTGAAATTACACGCATTTGCCATTAAAGTATGTTATAAGCGTTTCGTATTAACCATCCATGCTCGCGACGTGATTTGATATTAAGGATAAAATATTTTGTTCAATATTTACATAAAACGAAAACCTATAATTGACAACCTGTAGGACGACGTTTGCCTATCTAAATATTTAACATGAACTGATAAACTCTGAAATGTTTTTCTAACAAATCTATATTTTTTCTTGCGTGTATTCAATTAGTTTTGCTACGTCAAAATATAATTACTTAATTATTCTGAATAAATGAATATATTTTGATAACCTTTCATAATATTTTACTTATATATAAATTAATTTATATGATTTCATATCAAATTTAGCGTAATTTGGTTACTAAAGAAAGGCATTTCAGAATTGTACTATCGATTTTGCAGCTAGAAATATATAAATAATAACAATAAAGTAAAACCATAGTAGATAATTATTAATGTGGATGGGTTATAGCATGATCAAAAAAAAAACCTATTTTAAGCTTTAATTCAGTAGGTTAGTGTATTCAATCGTGGCTTTTAAAGTTTTTCACAATTGTTATTTATCTATTCATTCTAAAAGATCTATGATCCACTGATTAAAGATAATATAAATAATTATTTATTCAACTTCTATTATTTTCTCATTTCGTTTTAATAGTTTTATAAACGATAACGAAGACATTCATAGTGAATGTTAATATTATTTAATTTTCTAATAACATGCGGTTTTGTCTACCCTTTATTTGTTAGAGCAATTTTATATATTTTTGTATATGTTTTAGAGATTGGGATATTTAGTTTGAATTCTTTATATGAAAATATCTTAACCGATCTTTCCTAAAGATATGTTTCGACAAGTCATTAAGTTCTTAGTTTTTGGTGCTCTCAGTTTCAAAATATTCTGTTTTATGGTGCTGTTAGCTCGTACTTTGACTATTTATTACATTAATGTATAGTATTTATCTATAAAAAGTTGAGTACTGCCTGCAATTAACTGCAATTAATAGAAATTCAATTTTGTAAAGTAATTAATACGTAGTGAAATATTTTTAATGTGTAGCAGAAATTTTCTGAAGGAATTTCTTGATCCATTATTGAATGACAGTATGTGAATGGTGTATACTTAATTTATTTAATGTTGACCATTTTTTTCTATTAAAAGAAAATTGTTTACTGTGAATTCTTCCCAGAAGATCAGATAGTGAACGCAGAATATTATCTTGAAGCTCTATAATGATTGTGGTCCAGAATTCAATGAGTTCGATCAGCCATGGACGACGCGTTAAACTCTAAATAAACAACTAAATCGCATAGTACCAATTGTTAAAAGTAATAAAATATGTACAAGCACTTATCATCGCCTATATAAGATTATAAGTGGTATAATTTTATTTCGTGCATTTCTGGTGGGATATGTGAGGAGTAAAAAAAAAAAAAATCCGGTACAATGTCATCTCCAACTGTATATAATAATATTAATAGAATAGGGTTATAATATTTCTGCATAAAGGCATGGGAGGCATACCCCGATACTGTATGGTGTGTAAATGGTAGTAAGTGAGTATTACTTGCGGTACCCAACCGAAGGTGTAAATCTGGGACCACGCTGAAAAACTATGGACGCTACATTTCTGGTGCGAAATGTGAAAAGAAAGAAAACAATGCACTTTAGACTACAAGGTCTCGCATTATTAAAAATAAGTACAAAAATTCTTAAAATGCCAATATTTACAAATTTGAAAATGTAGAAATTGTAACAAGAGACAGAAAACTCTCTGAAAATTAACGGACAATTAAGGATTCCTAAAAATTGCTACACAAATATCTGGATCAATTCATTTGATACCGTCAAAAACCTGACAGAGTTTTAATAAAGTATTTTAAAAAGCTTATGAAATGAAAAGTTATTCTAAAAATGCTTTTATTTAGTATTCCTTTCATTTTATATAAAGATTAGAAGCATTCGATAAGACTAGAAGCATTTATGAGATGTGATCAAATAACCGAATTTGCGATTTATTATTTATTAATGCCATAAAGTGTCGGATTGCATTGTTTGATGAATCATTCTATAATACTATACTTTACATTTATTAATAATTTATTATTAAAACAACAGACTTGTTGGAAACAAACCTATAATATTCTTAAAAACCTTTATATCAAACAATCAAGAAAAATACTTACGAAAATGAGATTTTATCTGTTATCGTTGTCAATATCGCTTTCTTATGCCGTTAAGTACATAATTGTGCTTCACTTAGAAAAGTGGCTCTAAATACAGCAGAAGATTTTAACACATTCCTATTCCTTATCAAACTTGTCCACTTAAAGTATGAACAAGAAATGACATCAACCACAAAGGCATAAAAAGGTACGTACGTCAAAAACGGAGTACAAATCAACGGCAGTAAGAAGTCTGCTATAATCAACGTCAAAAACAAATGCAGCAAAAACAGAAAGAAAATTATAACGAAAAAAGTAATAGAATGACAACAGCTGCCGACAAATTCCAGCACAAACTACCCACCCCCGCCCCCACCGCAATCGCAGAAAAAAAACATAACCTCACAAACATAAGGAAATCTTATCAAACACAGATTGTAAACACGGAGAGCAACAACAAAAAGTACAAAAATCAATATTTTTTACCACAAAATGATAAGAGCTCCAATGATTGTCATGGATTAAAAGCGAAAAAATGGTTGTTGAGTTGTTGCAGAAGAATTAAGGTTAATGGTTTGAGGTGAAGTATCCATAATGTTACAACATGGATGTGGAGCCGCGGAATTTTACATTTAATATATTTTGTACACATTTCAGCAGAATCGCTCAGTGTCCTTCCAGAAATTACTTACAAATTGTGTTTATCTGTCAAGGATAACAGTGTGCTAGTTGCTTTTATGTGACTCGTAATGATGTAAAAAGGAGCGTTCAGCATAAATGAGAAGTTATTTTCATTTAACGAACTGTCTGAATAACAAATTACTACATTTACTGTGTTGTTATAGTAATTTCATTTTATTTTATTTATTTTTTTGTATTCATTCTAACATGGAAACACAATTCTCAACTCTATCCAAGTTAATTAGAGATGCCAATTATATCGTTAGGACCATTATGTTATTATTCATAAGATTTTATGTGAAGAAAAAAAATATTTTTTTATTAGACAAGCACAATTTTAGCATGTCAACTGGATTATCAAATAAAAATCACTAAGCCATTAGGGAGATATGTTGATATAAGGATATAATCCGAGTACAGTATAAAAAATTTGAAAAAAATCTTAGTCTGACTTCATTATAAAACTAAATTCATAACGTTTTTATTGTGCAGACTTAAGTTGAAATACATTTTTTTTAATGAAATGAATTTAATTTAGTATATGGTCGCATAGGGAGCATTTTAAATATTATTATTGTATTGGTCCACATAGCGTATGAGTAACATATCTTACATATGAGTATTAAAATATCTTACTAGATTCCCAAATTTTAGACTTTTTATGCTGAGATATAAAAGACACACATTTTTTGTTTAGTTGAGAAATTTCTTAATGTCATTTAATTAATTTCTAAAGAAAAAAAATCAGTCAAGAAGTGAGCAGCATCTCGGACATATCCTTTAACAAATTTCGACACTGTTCGTTGGCTTAGAAATATTTGCTGTGAACAATGTTACAAATTAGAGGTTCTCAAACGAAGCTTCTTTGAAATTGAAAATTCAACACGGAGTATGGAATTTCCTCACATATTCATATATAGTAATAAATAAATAAATATTCTACCATTTCGCAGAGTATTGGGAATTATTTTGCGGAGCACTAATTGCTGTGATTGAAGTTAGGGAAATGTATATATTTACTTAAGTCAAAAACTGAAAATATTTATATTCTGATTGTGGAAAAATATTTATATATAACTCGCAATGTGAAATATGAAAACAATACTGAGTTAAATCGCTATATGTGCCAATTAGCTATTTTTAAAGTTACACATTTAAATAGTATTCATAAATATTAAAGAAATTTCGAACAGTAGTGAGCTACAACAACAAAAATGATTTTTATATTATTTTAATAATCATTTTGGTTGACCATACAGCTGTTTTGAGTTTTGCCAAATACTCATCAGCAGTGGTCTTCGAAATAATTCTTGTATTTAATTATTAGTAAATAATTTTTTGAGACTGCAAGTACTAATAATCAAACTCGGGTCCTGTCAAATTTAAAGCTCAGGGTCAGCGCTCCTTAACCAACTGACCCAAAGTCGTATTTGACTTTATTGTTCGCACTTTCACAGCAAATTAACAAAACTCCAGAAAAATGTTCAAATTCTTAGGCTGCCCGTACAGCTATTTCGTATATTCCTATATTGGTACAAAATTGGAAGGCTTAATAGTTCTTGAACTTGAAGCATGTATTAAAAACCGAATCAACTATTCTTTTAACCGTGCACGTTGCTTTCCGATATCTGCTTCTAAAATATTGCTAGTTAGTTAGTTAGTTGTGGTGGTGGGAAGACGAATCCTCCCCAATTAGCTAAAAGAAAAAGCCGTTTTGAATCCACAAAAAACCTCGTAATAGTGGGTAGTAGATAGAGAGTC